TGTGTTCTAGGGGCCTCAATTAGGGGTTTTTTGCAATTATCTCAGTCATTTGTTTATGTATTTTAATTTACAAACTAAAAAATTAAAAAACTTTTCAAGATCTGCAACATTTATTTGAAACATTTTTCCCTAAAATGCACGAGGAACAAAATAGGCAAAAAAATAATTTTTTCCAAACTTCATCTTTCTTTAAAAAATAAACAAAGCAAAATTGGCTGTAATTCTTCAAGGAATTATCATCAGTTATCCCTTATCTACCGTTTAGAACATTAAAAAACCTGTAGAATATTTTTCATATTTTTTTTCCCTATTAACTGCGGTATTATGTATAAAAGCATTTTTGGAATTATTACCATTTATTTCATTCACGAATTTTCTATTAACAACTTTAGCTTACCTAAACATATCTTAGTTTACCGTGAGTTTGGCCCTGCTTATTTTACAAAAGTAGCAAAACTTACAATGGCAGTAGAATTGGCAACGCTGTTATCCTATATCCGTACACTGCCATCTGAACGTGACTTGATCTATAGGTGCACATGTTTTGAGCCAATAAATATTCAGATAAAAACCCGTTAAATGTTATTAATTTAAATTTTGGTTACATTATTGGATATTATATGAGATGATTCAATGATTGATGAAAGGTATAAGTGGAACTAATAACATGGCAACGTAATACATGAGATTGCTGGTCCTGAGACAAAATGTCTACGAGGACTTGTTGATAGCAACTGATTGAAATGACAATATTGACATGCTAGGACGGAAGTCGGAACAAAGCAGTCAGTGTAACTTAAGTTATTGGTGTAAATACGACAGTAGCCAACAATATTTAAAAATTGAATAAGTTAAAATTATAATAAAATAACAGTAGCAACCATCAATGTTGTAGTTTGAATTTTCCTAATTTTACGTTAAGAACATTAATTTTTTTTTATTAATTAATATAGGTGAACTGAAGTTTTGGTGATATTAAGTACTAATGTAGGTGAATGTCTAATAAAGTGGTGGTAAACTAAAGATTTTATTACAAAAGGCCAAATGTTTTGCAACATTTGGTACCTAGAAAATCGAAAAATAGATATATGTAGGAAGTTGGGTTGTTTAAATTTTATTGTCAAGTAGTGAAATAGTAAATGATGTATTTGAAAGTGCTACTGAGATGAAATAGAAATAGAATAAAATATTTTGTTAATGTAATGTTCATGTGGTAGGTACTTAACTTATAACTTAAGCATGGTAGGACTTCTATGTTAAAAGAGGTTATGTGTGTTCTTACCGAGTGAAAGAATGAATGGTGGGTTATTATATTAATTGATATAGGAGGTGGTCAGAAAGATTTATTGATTTAATACTATGTTACTAAGGAGTTATGATTGATATGCGAAAATTCAAATGTGTGGCTAGACTTGAGATGGATCATGAAATTATCTGGATATGTGGATATGAAGGTGAAGATGTATGTAAGATATGAAGGTTGTGTCGAAAAGGAGCATAGGAATAAGCGTCAGACTTAAAGTTAAGATTCCTAGACAAAAGTGGATAAAAATGGAGAGTTAGATGTATTAAACAATTAGGTTTGTAGTGGACCAAGGAAGATGAACAAGTGACAAGGGAAGAATGATTAATGTATTTTTTTTATATTTTGATTAAGTAAAATTATTGTTAAATGTTTGATTTTTGATTTTTTGAGCAGTGAGTACAAATTAGGATTGGTAACAGCAAGAAACCGTAAGTAAAATTTTTTTATTTCAAGTAAATTTCACTATTTTGTAAAGTATTAGTGGTGTATAATGTATCGATATTTTACATATTTTTTATGTACATGTATTATTCAAAATAATTTTCCGTGTATGAAATTTCATGTTTGGGATCATCTAGAAACAAAGATTTTAAAACATAGAGGAGAAGGTGGTAATATGGACCCCCATTTTGATTTTTTATTGTAAAATTGATATTATTAATAAAAAACAGAGATTGTTAGCTTAGTTACGATATGGTGTTAGTTACCGAAGACATTGTAATAGTTAAAGCGGTTTAAGACTTCATTTTACATTTTTTTTAAATAATTTTTTAAAAGTTGACACATTCATCAGAAAACGGGATGTGCAGTTAATATGGCCCCCATGGTGTTGTTAATATGGACCCCCTTATTAATTTAAGGAAATATTGGCAAATTCTGAAAATTATAACTGCATTGAACAAAAAACCTTTTTATTATACATAAGTAGATAGAGTGTATATAAGTAGATACAGCATAATATGTATGTATAGGTAGATATAGTCTAGTCTACAAAATTAAAATGTCCTACATGGTAATAATGGACGAACAACGACAGAAATCGCAGACGTACTCATCCTTCTCTGCCCCTGCACATTCGTTATGTGCCCACAGTGAACACATGAGACACTGAACCCATAGTTCCCCCCGCACGCTGTTGGTGAACTTTTCATCACAAAAAATACATGATGCGTCATCTTGGTTTGGTTGAGGCTCTCCAACTGATAGATCAAAAGGTGATTCACCGGAGCAAGTGGAGAGCTGCATCCCGTCATCATCATCATCATCGTCGTCGTCACTGCTGTCAGCTGGACGTTTGTGTTTAGGGTTGTTCTTCTTTGATTTTCCAGCGTTGGCACGTGGGGTACAGTCAGACTTGGCTGCTTGTCCTTTAGGGCTAGCTTGAGGCCCAGAACAAGACGGTATGGGTTATCAAACGTCACAGCGCTAGTTTGAGGTCCGGGACAAGATGGTATGGGGTTAACAAACGTCAAACTTCGAGTGACACTTGTTGAAGCACCTCTTCCAGTGCCTTTCCCATTGCCACGGCCATTGCCACGGCCACGACCACGACGACTTGCAGCAGCTTCTTTTTTTGCCAGAAAATCTTCTAGCTCTCTTTTATAAGGAGAACTAGTAATGACGTTTGCGATGCAGGGTTTTCGTCCACGGTTTGATTTTTTCTTTTTTTCTGGAACGGGGTGAATGTCTTTAGGAGACACAGCTAAGGTTGTTGGTGGATGAGGATTGACTTCAACTGCAGGAGTGTCATGCAGTCGGTTATCAGTGTTCTCAGCCTGATTTTCGTTTGGTGCCTCCTCCTCCCCTGCAATGAATTCATGGTCTTGAAAAATATTTCTTTCCAGGGGGTAAATACCTGTGACCCAGAATCCATTTACAGCGTTTACTCCTGTGGTACATCGGAGGTACGCCTTTCCCAAAAAGGACGCAATTTCGTAAGGCCCAACAGGTCTACTTTCATGAAGCATCCACTGTCGGATATTTTCACTGTAGTGAGTCTTTAAAGCTCCCATAAAAGTGCGGTCTAGTGGTTGCAATTTATGTGTTGTGTGGGATGGTAAGGACAATATCGTGATGTAATTTTTCCTTGCCAAATCGATCACATCAATGTTTCTTGTGTGAGAAAAGTGACCGTCAAGGATAAGTAGTATGGGCGAGGTCTCTGTTGGATTTGTTTTTTCAATAAAATGAGCTAACCAGTCTCTAAACAGATTTGATTGAACCCACCCAGACGGGTGAGCTCTTCCAATTGACCCAGGAGGAGCTCCTTCCATAAGGAGATCAGACATGTTTATCCTTGGGAAAATCAACATCGGAGGGACATAAGATCCTCCTGCACTCATTGAACATATGACTGTGACCAAAGATCCACGTTCTGCCGCAGTTAGAGAACATATTTGGCGTTTACCTTTACTGGCAATAACTTGTGGTATTTTTGTCTGAACTACACTCAGGCCCGTTTCATCCACATTCCAAATACGATCACCTGGGTATTTGTGTTTTGAATATTCGGACTCCAGCAAGTCATAAAAGGCATTAACTCTTTCACGAAAAAAACCTTTTGCACGAGCATATGATGTTCCAGTTGGCTTTCGGATTGACAACTTGTCTTTGTGTCGTCTAAGGAAATGGTCCAACCAAGCCCTGCCAGCAATTTCGTTTCTAAAGTTGGTTTGAATCCCATTTCTAATTGCTAGTTGGTAAGCCATTCGACGAACATCCAAGCGAGTGAACCCGTAAAATTTTGCCTCCATATACTTCAGGTACTCCACTAGTTCATTTTCCAGTTCTTCAGGTATAGCTGGTTTCCTACCTAGCTTTTTTGTGTGAACTTCAGTGGCTTCAGATGTACTTGCCTCTTTAACATATCTTCTTAAAGTGGTCTTAGGCACATCAAAATGTTTAGAAGCCTTTTTGACACCCATTTTCTTTTCAGTGACAGCTGCTACTGCTTCTTTCATTTTGTCCTTGTCCCAAATTTGCCTTTTTCTGGCTGGTTTAGGTGTTAAGCTGATTCTAGGCATCTGAAAAATAAAAAAACCACAAATATTGAAACTGCTTGTAATATAGATCCCGGGGTCCATATTACCGTTACCTAGGGGGGCCATAATATACACATCTCCAAGTTTAAAACACGTGGTTACAAGATAAAATGTAAAAGACTTAGAACATTCTAGTCTGTGTTAAACTGTAGGTAATAACCTCTAATTCATATGCACGATACTTAGAACTAAGTTATTATTAGTTATGGTAAGTTAAAATCAAGAAATTTACATACCTTTCAAAGTTTTGAAGATTGACCAAAACACAAACTACTGCACAATTACTAAGTGACTGCACTTAATGGCTCACAGCGTTCCTACCGGCCAGTTGGTATACTAGTGAACTAGTTCCAGCGTTCTCCACTAGATTTCAGCACTTTGTTATTAAAATACGGAGGGGGGCCATAAAATATGCAGGGGCCATATTACCACCTTCTCCTCTACCGTATTTAAACAGTTTTTATGTTGGTAGAGATACTTGGACAATATACTGGTATACTTTAAAGGAACTAACAGAAAACTTTTATCATAACCAATTTTTATCATATCTTACTTCACTCTGTAATCATATTCAATTAGAAATAAAAATAGAACAGAATAGGAACAGAACATAATCAATCCATAAATTTTTTATATTTAAACATTCTTCTTATTTAAGTGCCGTCTCCCAATCGAAGGTTGGATATCATCATCATTATCTTTACTTTATCTACTGCTGCTCTGAAAAGTTCTATAGAACTGCATTTAAACCAGTCCCTTAAATTCTTCAACAATGACACTCTTCTTCTTCCTATACTCCTTTCTCCTCTTATCTTCTCCTGTATTATAAGCCTTAACAGTTCATATCGCTGTCCCCTCATTTCGTATCCGAGATATTGTAACTTTCTTATTTTTATTGTGTTTATTATTTCGCATTCTTTGCCCATTACTTGCAATACTTCCGTGTTAGTTTTCTTCTGTGTCCATGCTATTCTAAGCATCCTTCTGTAACACCACATTTCAAAGGACTGTAACTTATTTATGTATTTTTGCTTCAATGTCCAAGTCCACATTGCAGTATCGAAAACACGTAGCATCTCAGTGATGATCTTACTCTCAGTTTTACTCTCACTTTTTTTTTTACTGAGGTGGAAAGGTTCTAAACCGACTAGGGAAAGATGTCCCTAGTACTGTTGGATTCGATCCGGGAAGGAGCACATGCTAGGACATATCATCCAGAGTATGGATTATATGCACCACATGCACCCCTGAAGTGACCAGTCGCCTACCAACTAAAACCACCCCTTCTTCGGACAAGGCACCCCCGGACGAGTTCAATCGGTGAACGAAACATTGAGATGCCTTGTGCAGTCTGAAAATTTGGGAAAAAATTGTAAAAGGGTTCTTACCTAAAAACGATAAGAAGCGCTTAAAATGGTATGCAGCGACGGTATTGTGGGGAAACAAAATATTGGGTCCTAAAAGGTGCAGGTGCGTTTAGCCTGACAAGGAAGGAATGTGAAATAAAAGAGGCATGAGGTCGTGAAAACTACGTACGTAATATAATTACAGATCTGGCTGTAAAAGTGCCGTCTATTCCGTCGTACAGCCGAGTTGCAAAGCACTTATGACAGCGTATTGTATAATTTGTTACCTCATCCACCTTGCTCCTGTCTCGCTCTTTCTAGCGTCTCCTTTTTCTTTATAATTTGCGTAATTATCTCGACAGCAATATCGTAGGATTCTTTGTTCTGCGTCGCTTTCTGTATTAGGTTATTGGGCGTTATCGCTCCTAGCCTTGATATTAGGTTATTCCGTTCTCTTTGGAAAGTAGTGCAAGCAAAAATGCAGTGTTCTGCGTCATCTATGACGTCACAATTTATACACAGATCATTTGTTGTCTTCTTTATTCTATACGTATACGACCTAAAGGAGCCATGGCCGGTGAGAAATTGTGTAAAAAAGTAATTTAACCTTCTGAACCTACATTTAGACCAAGTTACCACGTCAGGGATTAATATTTTGGTCCTTTGGTACTTTGGATTTTATTTCCGGTAAATGACCGTTTTCTCTGTTATATAAAGTATCTCTTTCTTTAGCTAGGAGGTGAATGGGGAGCGTTCCTGTTATGACCTGTAGGGCAATCGTAGAAGTAGTCCGGTATGCGCTTGCTACCTTTAGTAGAGGCTTCCTTTGTGCCTTTGCAAGCAGTTCCTTATACTTAGCCATTCTCAAGGCTTCGTACCATATGGGAGCGCCGTATAAGAGTGTAGAGTGCACAATCTGAAGGTACATTCTTCTTTTGAGGGCACTTGGACCACCGATATTTGGCATAATTTTTATTAATGCCGCGGTTCTTTCTTCTGCTCTATGGACTACTTTCATCAGGTGCTTTGTGAATCTTAGACCTGTGTCTAGTTGGATGCCCAGATACTTAGCACAGTACGTAGGCTCTATACTTGTACTACCTACTACAAAAGCCAGGTTTGGACGGGCTCTAGGGCCTTTCAGGATCAGAATTTCTGTTTTTTCTGTTGCCAACTCTAGATCTTGTTTCACCATCCATCTATTGACTTTTCGACAGCTTCTGTTGACTAACATTTCTAACTCCAAGTTATTGTTACACTGAATAAGTAGAGCTAAATCGTCTGCGTATGCAATAGCTTTGGTCTCTGCTCCATAGTCAATTTCTAGGATTTCATTATATAAAGTGTTTCAAAGCATTGGTCCTAGTACGGATCCTTGCGGTACGCCTGCTGATATTTTCAGGTCTTTAGGTTTTGCCACTTGGACATACCTTTCATTGAGGTAGTCCTTAATTATATTGATCAAATAATCTGACACGTTTGCTTTTTCCAGTGAGGTGATAATGTGACCCCAATTGGCTGAGTTGAATGCGTTTCTCACGTCAAACATCACGAGGGCAGCCCATTTCTTTCTCGTCCTTTTTACAGTGTCAGTTATTTCTTTTACCGCATCGATGGATGTTTTAACCTAAGAGCTTTGTTCCAGATAATTATTTTCATTTTTACCATCGCATTTTTTGCTATTTCTATCCTAGCTCTTATTTCGGTTGTTTGATCATTATTGCCTGAAATCCAGGTTCCTAGGTATTTGTATTTATCAACCCTTTCTATCGGTACAATTCGTATCGTACATTTATCAGGCACGAAAACAAACATGAGTTTTCCGTTTTTCATAAACCTACACATACTGGCACGACTACACATAATTCATCATCCTATCCTATATAACATATATCGGCACCCTATCATAGCATGTTACATGGATTAATAGAAATTCTCATGTTAAAAAACAAATTCGATAAAGTTGAATATCATTAGACAAATAGCACTAAACAATGACTATAGCGAATAGACAATAAACAAAATTTTACTTTCTGCTTGATTACATATACTGGCAAGATATTATCAAAAATCGCCAAACATAAAAAAGAAAGGAATAACGCCAGTTTCAAAACAAAGAACAACTTAAGCAAATATACTAAGGACAAAAAGAGTCAAAAGAAAAAGCACATACACAGTGGTGTACACAAACTTTCATGTGGAGACTACCCAAAAATTTACATCTGTCAAACGCGTAGTAATTTTAACAAACGGGTAGCAGAACACAAATGGTTTTAATACTAGAAAAACAGATTTTACGTACGCACTTCACCTTTGAGATCATAATCATTCTTTTAATAATCAATTTAAAATTTTTCATATTTAAAATAAAGGCCGTAAGCTATCATTAATAAAATTTATGGAAAATAGCAAATTCAAAAATACAGATATAATTGTGAATGACCAACTTGAGCAAATAGTTCTCCCCATCTCAACTTACTCTGTTAAAGGCTATAAGTGTAAGACGCATAACAAAAATAGCTTACCTGAGAAAGGTACATTGCCGAAACAGCTGTAGTGATAGTAAATGATAATAAAATTTTGGAAGTATTAAAAAAAAAAGATTTCAATGTTTTATTGCTTTATTTTATAATATATTTTTTGTATAAATCTGCATATAGTTAAATTATTTTTCAATTATTTAACTTTAACTAAATGAGGTTATCTCGAAAAGTTTTCGTTTAAAATTTCAATAATCAAATTAGCTGTATATCTTCCATATAACTGTCGTTTCGTCCACGATAATATAAAGAATTGTCCTCTAACTTCCGCTTTATTTTGGAATTACATTCACCATAGCATTTTTCCATAGTTCGTTTTCTTAATGTACTCTCACCAGTAAGGATTTAATTAAATGTTTTTTAAAGAACTTAAAATTAGTGTGATTAACTTTATATAGAGGAATGTTGAATGCAATCATCATCTGATATATCAAAATTAAATGTGAGTTTTTCTAAGCTCCTTAAACTAAGAGGCTCCAGATATATTTGCACTTGAGGAATTTAATTTTTCTCAATTACCTACACCTATTAAATGGGGCTCCACAATGCTAGTCAATAAAGTATTTTATACTACTTAAAATCTAAGCATTTAAAAAAATAACTAGAAATAACCATAATAAAATAACTAAAATAATTAGAATTTTGGAATTTAGTTATAGAATGAGAAAGATGCACAGTTTACAAACTGCTCTCCGCATCTACTTCTAGAAAAAGTTTCGAATATGTGCCAATCCATGCATTTAAGTTAGAAGTCTTCTTTCTAAATATACGTCTAAAACTTTTTAAAATGTACATTCTTTACTTTGCGGCATAAGCAACAAAACTAAACTCTAATACCGTAACAGACGGGAGTCTGATTGTCGGAACGACTAAGGTATGGAGTACACATCCAAAAGACAGTAGAAAAGGCGAACCGAAATCTGGAGACGTTGATACTGCTGATGCCAAATATTGGAAGCCCAGGTAGCACCAAAAGAAAGGTGCTAAATGGAGTTCTCCAGTTGTTGGTAACCTACGCTGCCCCCTTGTGGTGTAGCGTACTAAACACTGCGAAATACGCTAAGCTGATGGAGACTTCGCAAAGGATGGAACTGATGGAAACCTCAAATCGACGACATTGCACAGAAAGCCACAAAGAGATGTCGACTGCTCAAACGTCTCACAGCAACAAAGTGGCGCGCCACGCAAGATGTCCTGGTAGCAACATACAAAAGCTATGTCCGGCCGATATTAGAATATGGGAGTGAAGCTACAATAATTGCGAGTACAAACACCACCTCCAAGCTTGAAGTCGCCCAGAAGACTGCCCTTCGCGTCATCACCGGTGCTCCAAAATTAACACCTATTACATCAATGGAAGCCCAGACCGGTATTAAATCAATACAATGCAGCAGAGAGCAACAAGCGTTAATCTTCTGGGAAAGGCAAAGACGAATACTTCCACAAATATGGGACGAATATAAACAAGCAGCCTCACGTCTTAAAACACAAACCACTCCGCTTACAGTAGCAAACCAAATCATGGAAAAATACCACATTATCCTGTCGGAAGCCGCCCCCTTCCCAGCGCAAACCACACTGGCCCGCTGTCTACGAAACACAAAATTACTGCTTGAAAACCATAACGACCCATCACTTATCGTCAGACATTGCCCTAAGGCAATGGTTAATTTTATGGTTAATATTATTTATTAGTTTATGGCCTAACGTCTTAAATATTTTCTGATTTACAAAAATAGGTATGGTTATTTATAAATTTTTCGTTTTTTAATTTAGCTGTTTATTGGGTGGCAAGACCACCGCTCTGGAACGGTAATTAAGGTTTTGCCGGAACACGGTTAATCCGGTACTATCCTGGGGTCTTCTGGCCTAGTATCCTTGGCCGAAAGATGCTAGGGTATCTTGTTCCGTGACGTAGATGTCCAAAAAAGATTTCCCCTGCCGTTGCCTGTCAGAATTCAATAGATACCTTCTTAAGCACTTACTGGAATCTGGCAATACGACAATTAAGAAAAAAATACAGTAACCGACTCTACAACTGAAAATTGTTTAACAAAAAATCAAAAAAGGTTAATTATTTCGGAATAGTTAAGCCTTTTGGTAAGGTACATTTTCCTAGAAATCAATTAAAAAGAAAACCGTTGGCGTTGATATTTTCTTTATATTTTTATTATATAAAGGTTAGTAAAATGAAAAATATTATGGGTACTAGCATTCACTTTAAACCCTTCAGTGAACGTATGGGTTACAAATTACACAAGTACACGAGTGAGGCCTGTCGGGACCATTTTTGTATTGTAATTTTTTTGCAAAAATTATTTTTTGTTAAAATAAAACACACCTTTATAAATATATTAATTCAAAAAATATTTTATTTTTTTATTATGTTTGAGATACTCAAAAATACAAAAAACTGTTATTTATTGATATATTTATATTTAAAAATCAATAAAGCCGTTTTCTATAACAACAAAATTTTTAAACCTATTTAGTCTAATCAAGAACTAACTAAAAACTTACAAAAGACAAATTTTAACTCCAAAACTCTTTACAAACAAAAACTACTGTGACCTAAACTTGAACTGTTTTATATTATATTATATATATATATATATATATATATATATATATATATATATATATATATATATATATATACACATATATATTATGAACTATTTATATATTTTGGTTAAGACACTTCGCAAAGTACATTACTGTTATATGTTTCAGATAAAGTCGGCTCTTACACAATTTGCAAACATATTTAGTTTTGCGCCTTTTACAATATTTTCCATATCCCCTTTTGTTTGGTGGGGAATAAGAAGGTTTTGGATATGGTGGAAACCTCTAAGCAACGTCTCAGTTAAAGCCCGTGCTGCAATGTTTGGTTTAACTAAATCAAGTCCTCAATTTTATTGGAATATTCTTCTGTTTTTGATATAGGATACATCTGGATTATTGTTGGATTATTGTAGCTAGTTACCCTAGCTACATCCTAAGTTAAAGCCATTGTATCTACCACATTTTCACTTTTTGTTAGGTTATAGAACGATTATTTTGAGAACGATTGCCGAAGTGGAAATTGAAACGTCAATAAACGTATTTTTATCTTTAATTGTGGCTTATTCCCAGTTTAATAGTAATTAATTTACAATGCCACAAGAAAATAGCTTCAGAACAATATTATAGAAAGATATTATTTTTAGCTTTTGGGTATCTCCTGTTGACAAATCGATGTTCTTAATATCACGATGCCAAGAAGTCCAAGAAGAATATATCGCGTAAGGCATTTTTATATTTTATAGAGACATAGGTTGGATTAGGTTAGGTTACTCTAGGTTAAGTAAAACTTCAAAACTGTTGCATACAAAGTGAAATGGGCCGTGATGATCGCTAATGTTCTTAAAGAATGAGACACACAAAGAAGAAAAAACATAGAAAACTGTGATGGCATTTTTTTTCAAAAGCAAATAAAGATGCGAATATTCTACCATTTACTACACGCAGTATTTCTGCAAGCTCTCGTATATTTGACCAAATTCGACCAACACCTGTTAAGCATTTTCAATAACGTTCATGCCTGTGAACCATAGATCCATAGTTACATTTCCTCCTGTACAAATGTTGACACATTTGGCACCAAATACGGCCCTTGAGTTTGTTGAAATGCGTAAATCTCGAATTGTGTAAAAGGTTCTCGAATCAACCACTGAAAAAATTTTTGTACCATAGTTGTTGATTTTAATCGCGATGTACATTCAACATTATAAATATGCTGTAACAGCAGCTAGTTTTTCAGTCGCTCTTCTTTCCTACCTAGTATCTGTATCATCAAATCTCATCACTCGGGACAGAAATCTAAATCTTCGCAGCTACGAAGATTTCAGATCCATTTCATCGTCAGCCCAATAATCTTGTATTCGCGTATTCCATCGTATTTCATGGTCAAATAAAAAAATAGTCCCCATCTTCTACGATCTTGCGTTTACATTCCCATTTGAACTATCATACGTGTAGCAATTTCAATAAGTAGTAAAATTTAGATAGGATTAAAGACATGTGACCATAATATGTTTGTATGTTTTACCAGAAAACGAAGGTAGTTTTAGTGCACCTTTTCGTATTTTTAATTTTTTATTATCAGAATAATTAACTGTGTAATTAACTGAGTTAGATGGTATCAATTATTTTTATTACTGGAAAGAATTTTCGTTAAAACAAATAATTTTAACATTATACCACGTAATGTTTTT